TAGCACTTCTGTTTAATAATTTTAATGCTGCCATTACAGCTCAATTTTAAATTATTAATGTTTTATTCAGTGTAATAATTGATTGTGAACCAGGTTTTTATCTCGTTGTTTTATAATCTATTTACATGATGTTTCAGTGGAATACGGACAAAACCATGTCAATTTTTATAGATAATTATTTTTATAAAGTATGACAATTGCACAGAAGAGCATTATGTTCAGTCATCTTTGACACAACATACCATTCAATATAACCACCATTTTGTTTTATCACAGCTTCTAATCTCAGTCTAACTTCTAATCACTTGCTTTTTTCAAAATCTTCTTACCCCAGTGTGCAAACGATGTCTCAATAGCGACCTTAGTGTGATCCAATGTTGGGATGTCAGGTCTTGTTGGAGTCCCGCTTAATAACGCTCCACCCGGAAAAATCGAGCAGATTCAAGTCGGTCGGAATGCCAGAAGTCCTTGTTTCAGAACATGCTCAGTTGATATTGCTGATGTGAGTGGGCGCTCCATCTTGCTAAAAGACGTACTGCCTTCCTGATGTCATAATGGCAATCCACGGCTTCACAAGTTTAATAATAATATTTATTGAGTCACATATACAATTACAATCGTGTGTGACAAGTCAATATGATGCCTTGGGTGGAGAGAGCGAAGTTACATTACTGTTCAGGAGCAAACAAGGGGCCATCTCAGCATTTGCTCAAAGGAACAGGAAAACTGAACAAAACCTGATCGAGATGGGGTCATTGGCCTAGAAATACAATACATGTTACGGTTAGATTAAGATATTATACAGTAGATAAATTATCTGCTAATAATTAACATTTCAATATGTTATTTTAACTTATAATTATAATAATTATTATTATTATAATAATAATAATTACATTAATAATACATATCAATTATGTTTGCAACTACATCAAATTTAGTAATAGTAGTACATTCTATATTTATAACTTGAAATGATGAGGAGTCAAGTTTTGACCAGTTTTTTTCTTCTTCTATTCTCCTTCTGTTTCACAGGATGCGATATGCAGTTCTTTTTTATTTGCTTCAACTTGAAACAGTTTACATGAAACAGAAAGTCTAATGGGATAAGAAATTCTTAATTATTTACATTTTTAAATCGTATTTTAATACTATTGCCTCCCTCAAAGTACGTTTATAAACTCCACCACTACCATCATCAGCTCCACCACAGTCATCTTTACCATGGCCGCCTAACCACCGTGGCCGCCTAACCACCGTGGCCGCCTAACCACCGTGACCGCCTTAACCACCGTCGCCGCCTTAACC